AGTGTGAATTCGTTCATGTGTTTGACAATTACTATGTCTGCTAAATGCTTTCCCACATTGCTTACATACATAGGGTTTCTCCCCAGTGTGAATTCTTTCATGTCTTTGACAATCACTGTGTGTCCTGAAAGCTTTTCCACACTGCTTACATACACAGAGCTTCTCCTCATTGTGAGCTCTTTCATGTCTTTGCCAATCACTGTGTGTGCCAAAAGCTTTCCCACACTGCTTACATAGATAGGATATCTCGCCAATATGAGTTCTTTCATGTATTTGACATTGACTATGTCTGCTGAAACCTTTCCCACATTGGTTACATACATAGAGCCTTTCCCCAGTATGAGTTCTTTCATGTATTTTACAAGCACCATGTCTGCTGAAACCTTTCCCACACTGCTTACATACATAGGGTTTCTCCCCAGTGTGAGTTCGTTCATGTACTTGACAATTACTGCGCCTGCTGAATGCTTTCCCACATTGCTTGCATACATAGGGTTTCTCTCCAGTGTGAATTCTTTCATGTATTTGACAATTACTCTGTGTGCTGAAAGCTTTCCCACATTGCTTACATTCATAGGGCTTCTCTCCAGTGTGAGTTCGTTCATGTCTTTGACAATCACTCTGTGTCCTGAAAGCTTTCCTACATTGCTTACATTCATAGGGTTTCTCCTCAGTGTGAGTTCTTTCATGTCTTTGACAGACACTGGGTTTACTGAAAGCTTTCCCGCATTGCTTACATTGATAGGGTTTCTCCCCAGTGTGAATTTGTTCATGTATTTGACAATTACTCTGTCTGCTGAATGCTTTTCCACAATGCCTACATACATAAGGTTTCTCCCCAGTGTGAATTTTTTCATGTATTCGACAATTACTGTATGTGCTGAAAGCTTTCCCACATTGCTTACATTCATAGGGTCTCTCCCCAGTGTGAGTCCGTTCATGTCTTTGACAATCACTGTGTGTCTTGAAAGCTTTCCCACATTGTTTACATTCATAAGGTTTCTCCCAAGTGTGAGTTCTTTCATGCCTTTGAAAATCACTGTGTGTGCTAAAATCTTTTCCATGTTGCTTAAATACACAGGGTTTTTCCCCAATGTGAGTTCTTTGATGATTACCAAATGAAGTGTTATTAGTGAAGGATTTCCCACAGTGTTTACATACATACAGTTTTTTGTCAGTGTGAACTCTTTCATGTATCTGAATAAAATGGTGAGGAGTAAAACCTTTTCCACATTCTGAACATATATAAATATTCACTTCACTGTGATTTCTTTCCCAGATTTGAACATAGTTGGCTATATTGAGGGCTTTCACATTGTGCTCATATAGAAAGGGCTTCCCTTTAGTGTTGGTTCCTTCAGTGCAATCGGAGTACAATTTTCCACACTGCTTATATTCATAAAGTTTCTCTCCAGGATTTGCCTTTGCATGCTTGTGAGAGGACTGGAAGTCAGTGCAGGTTTTCCCAAATCTGTTACAGCCAGACAGCTTCTCTTCAAAACCCTGATATTCATATAATTTGACTTCAGTGTTAGCTATGATGTGCACATTTGGTGATGAATGACCAATCAGGGGATTTCTAGAGCCAAGGTTTTCACCTGGTTTTGTATCAACTGGTTTTGTGTTCACATTATCATCTGTAGTCCAGAAAATCATTTCTCCATGTTGATACCATAATTCATATTCATAGCATTTTGCTACCTCTTCACTGCTGTAAAGGAATAAAATAAACAACAAATCACATTTAAAAGTATCTTTTTATAAATGGTGTATTGGAAGGAGATCTGGTTTGATGCCCCCAAAGGATATTTGATCATGAGTTTACTATACACTCTGGATCATGGCTTCAAAACAACTTTTACCAAAAGAGTAATATTTATTTGGTATAACTGACATTTGAATACATAACACTTTCATTTTGAGGAATTGGGACATAAGTAGTCCATATTTTGATTATATTTCATACCCTATCTTCCCTGAATCTATGCCCTCCCCCTTCCACTGTCTCTTCACACACTCCAAAATGTCTGCCTCTCTTCTTCTATCTCTCCTTTATTTTATTACCTAATTAATACTCTGGGTTTCTCATAAAAATATAATACATTATATTGAAATTTCTGTGTCTATATAATTATATAACAACATTATTGACTCCAGATCCTTCATTTTTTGGCAATTGGCATAATTTCATTCTTCTTTACATATACACACTATAATTTTTTCAGTGCTGGAGATTTACCCCAGGCTTTTAGCATTGAACTACATCCCCAGCCTTTTTTACTTTGTATTTTAAAATAGTCTCATTAATCATTAAGTTGTCCAGTATGAGCATGAATGTATTATCTTCTTGCCTCAGCTTTCTAGAGTGCTATGATTCCACACAAGCACCATCATTCACAGGCTATCCCTTATTTCCTTGATCAACTCATCTGCAAATGGGCATCTAGGCTGTTTCTCCAATTTAGCTTTTGTAAGTTGTGCTGCCACAAAGAAAGGTGCGCATGCATTACTGTAATATGATTACTTTACTTTTAGAGGGAATATACTCAGCAAAAGTATGGCTGGATAAAATGGAATTTCTGTTTTTATTTTTTTTGATGAATCTCTATATACATTTCTACACTTGATCTTAGCAAAAGGCCAAGAAGAGATTTCTCTCTCTATATTTCTATGGATGGTATACTACAAATGACACTCCAACAAACATTATGGAATGGGGTGCCTTCTAATATTTTGTTACATGAATGGACTGAATGATTTGGAGGATTGCTTGAAAATAACTATTATCAAAATAGTGGCATGAATTTGGATTTTCAAAATGTTCACAAGGACAACAATTTTGCAAATACTGAATGTATATAGCACATTTAAATACATACAGCATTCCTTACATAATGTTTGACATGAATGTAGTCTTTTAAAGATATATTATATATAATTAGATATCCTGAATTTGGCTCTCAGTCTAAACACAAAATTTGTTTAATATACTCCTATAGTCAATGCCTAAATGCAATTTCATACAAAAACTATAATCTTGACAATGGAAAATAATTTGCTTATTCTTTTACATTAAATAATGTCACCTGTGTCATGTCATAATGTCAGTACTGCCTACATTTCAAATATTGTAATATTTCAAGTATTCAACTATCATACTACAGGTACTCAACATGTATGGATCTTTGGAGAAATATTGTGAGAAAAAGAAGTTGTAACATAGCTTCATTTGTATAGTTTGCTTGGTTTTCATATTTTTGACTCTTAAGGAACATTCTTCTTGTGAGTATAAATTACCTTAGATTTCTCCTGCAGTTTTTGAACTCATCTTCAATTTTCTCATCATCCCAGGTTTTTCCTAAAGTGTAAAAAGAGAAATGTAATGATGTTACTACATTACATAAAAATTCAGAGATTCCGGTTAGATTCATAGTATAATATGACCATGCCTGGAACAATCATCAAGTTTTCACATAAAGCAAACTGCACTGATAACCAATGCTCTCTGATTACCTGAGAAAATTATATTTCCCTTACCTATAGCAGCCACATTCCTAAAGGTTTCAAACATCACATCTCTGTAGAGCTTCTTTTGGGATAGATCCAGTAAAGCCCACTCCTCCACAGTGAAGGTCACAGCTACATCCTCAAAGGATACTGCCTCCTAAATCATCAGACACAGATATCCAGGAAGAAGAGTGAGCCTCACAACATGAAATATTTCACCTCTACTTAGAAAAAGCTGAAATGAGGCTGAGTCCTCCAAATGTTTACTTCATGTCTTAGTCATCAAACACTTATTGTCCATTCATGTACATATCTCCTACAGGAATCCTGATGCTAGATTAGAATTCATTGCTAAAGCAATAGCAGAAGGAGAACACTGGTTCTTCTGCTAACCTCAGCTTTATTTGAACACTGTCTCTAAAGCATGGTTTATGCATGGAGCCTACAAGATCAGCATTCAAGTAAAAAAACTAAGGTAGAAGAATATCTGAGGAATTGCTCTCACAGGTCATAGAATTTTTTCAACTTATTACTAATTTAATTGATCCCTTCCTTGAGTATATTTAGACAGCATTTTGAAACTTGCATATGGGAGAGAAATGAGGGAATAATATGATTAAAATATAAATTATATATAGTGAACACCATATATTGCAAACTGAACTTGCAGTAATAAAAGGAAAAATTGAAGAAAAAATTTTAACACTTCCAAATCACACCTTTGATATGTCAAAGGAAATTATAATTGTTCAGTGTAACAAATATTTAACAATGCTCAATAACTAGTAAACAATAAGGTAACCTTGATCCTTTAATATACAGGAAAGAGACTCAAAATTCAGTATTTAATGTGTTGTTCTATTAGTGAGAATGACAAATAGATCACATAAAAGGAAGAGAGTCTTCAATGAGCTCACATGGAAATAGAATTTTGATGATGATAGAACTCTTATTGTATAAAGTGGCAGAAATCACCGACTGTTTAATACAGAAGACAGGGATAAACAGGTATATACATTGAAACATGCACTTTATTCTTCATTGTCCATGTAAAAGTTCCACTTTTAAATGGGAAAAGATAAACTTGAATACTTGGAGAATTCATAGTCAAATATCTTTTGGATGTGAAAAAATTGTTTCCCCAGAAGAAAATCATGAAGCCATCAGAATTAGAGGGAGAAATTAATACCTATGTAAATTATGACAAGTAAGAGAGACAAGAAGTAAAAAAAAAATTGCACTCTATACAATAAAAAGAATTTTTGCACTGGGTAAAAATCAACAAACATATAAGAAAAATAAACAAAATATATAACTCAAGAAAAAAACCAAATATAAACAAGATCTATGATGTTGGTTGAGGAAAGAGCCAAAGGAAATGGAATTTTGGAAAGACAAAACTAGCATGTAGACTTATGAAAAAATGAAGGATCAAATGATACACTCCACAACCACGTCCTCTACTTTAGAGTATAGCAAAATCTACACACAAGGGATTTTATTCCAATGTACAGAAAATACACTGTGTTGTTGCTTCTGGAAACAAATGTGACTCTTCACATCTATAAAAAGTAAACTTGAAAAAGCTTCAACCATGTGACCACTGTAATAGATGAGAAACCACTCTGCCTGGACTCAGACATGAGCACATATGAAACAGTGAGACAACAAAACCACCTATAATGCTTTTCTATACAATTTTATATACTCACATATTGAACATTTCAAGGGAGCAAAACTAAAAGAATATACATGGTAAACTTAGAAAAAACTGCAAAATAAACATAACAATTTTTCCATAGGGAAGGCAAGGATGAGTCTAATAAGGTTGCACCTGGGTACTCTTAACCACTGTCCAAGCCCCAGTTCCAAAACTTTCTGAGGGTTCCTATGATGTTTATATTGTTGTTACTGTTAAAAATCACAAAAAGCTTTTTTGAGAATAAAACATTTTGAAAAATATTTACACAAAATTACGTGGGAAAATTAATTTTTACAAGTTTGTTGACATTCTAACATGGAAAAAAGTTAATTTACAGACTGGGCACAGTAAACAAAACAGCACAGTTGCAAACAAAAGACCTCCAGATACTCAAGAAGCAGTGATTAGGCTTCATATTGTACATCAGGAGTGTAGGTTAGAAAATAAAAGAAGTAAAAGACATGCAAGCTCATTAATGAGTAGACATCCTATCTATGAAGCAACGTCCTATGCTATCCTTGAGAAAAGTGTCTTTTATATTCACATTTGTGAAGATATGGTATAGAAAACCCAGGACATGCAAAGGAATATTATTCCTATACCTGAAGACTCAGGTTCTCATGACTGTCAACCATGTAACAAATCTCTTGACAGAGTGAAGAAAGCCTGGCCTGAGAGGTTATTGAAGTTAACAGGGAACACACATCGAGAACTCACTCCTCCAGGCAGAAGTTTGGGTTATCAAAGTGCCTGTCAGATCCAAAGCTGTGAACACCTAGGCTTTTGATCACATTATCTTTAATTGGGACACAGCAGAATCCATGTTTAGGGTTACATACTGTCACTAAAAATCAAACAGTGAACATACACACTTTCACTTTTCAGTTCACCTGGAAAAACACAGAAGAATGTTTTCTCAATAACAAAAAACAACCTAACTTAAATTCAGCAACGCTTGAAGATCAAGGGAGATCTAGGAGGTAGTGTGGCAGAAATGTAAATTACTCTGAAGAAACCCAGGAACAAAACAAGGGTAGAAATATGTTAATTGTCTTTACAAACAAGGATAAGAGAACTGTGAGAGGTAGAAACTCCTGCAGCCAGATTTTAGACATCCTACAGCTTTGTTCATTTTTATCTCCACCAGCATGGCCAGGTTCTCACAGTAATACTCAGAGAAAAACTGCTTCATGGTTCTGAGAGTAGAGTGGAGAGACCAAAACCATTTTGAAAATTCTGGTTATTAAATAAGTTCTAAGTGGGGGGAAACAGAACTTCTCTAAACTCTAAACCACTATGATATTTGTACACCCAAATTCTTGGCAGCAGATGAAGTACCAAATTTCAACCATTCTAATTCATCTCCCTCAACACTGAAAAACAAGGAGGATATGATTTTGACTTTTAATTTCATTAGACTCATCAAATGATCTCTTGTGAGGAACTAATAACAACAACAAAAATGCTCAAAGAATGCAGACAATGGGGAAACTATGGCTCTAAAATGAAAAAAAAAATGAGGAAAGAGTATGTGAGATAGTTCAGTAAAATTTTCACATAGAGACCATCAGACAACTGTCTGAAGTATGGGAAAATGGGTAGAGGCAACCAAGGAAAAAGATCCAAAGTACTGCAGGAAAAATCGTTTGTATAAAGTAACATCAGCAAAGATTTAGACATTATTAAAAAGATCAGATTGAAGTTATGGAAGTGTAGAAAATTCTTAAAATAAGTTTACTGCCATAGATTCTATGTGTATTTAGCAAGAAATTATGTTCAAATGGATAACATCAATAGTCTATTAGGCTGTTAGAGGCACTCTCATGTAGAATGAATCACACACATTGTACATGGGATGGGAAGTACTTGGGAATATGCTATGGTCCATGAATGTCTCTGAAACTATGTAGCAGACATCCCTGCCCAGTACTAGTGGGCTACGAATGGCACCTACTTCTTGCTTTCCATAATTCAGCTATATTGTTTTATATCAGGAGTCAGGCCAAAGCCCTACATGATTCAAATGGATATCTCAGATGTCAGGTAGGGTGAAGATGGCCCCTCCCCCAGTGGCTGCCACCAAGGCCTAAGCCTTGGCAGGGATCTGCTGAGTTACATGCAGCTAAGGTCAGCATGACCCAAAATAAAATCCTTTCCCCTGAATTATGGCTTCTCACTGACCCAATGGCTGCTTGCTAATTGTACCTGGTCCTGGTATCTGTTTGTTCTATCTGAGCAAGATAAGCAGTGCTTACTCCCTTACACCCCTGCCTGGCACCATCATGATAGGTGTTTGGCAGTATTTCACTAGATGCCTTCAAAGGATACCTGGCTCCCTATTTCTTCCCATGGTTGTATTCAATAAATACTGGATGTGCTTGAGGGTCTTTGTTGCCCAGAGCAGCACTGATCAGGTCCCAAGACCCACCTTCACTCTAAGTCTAGTTTCCTGTCTTTATTCTTTTGCTTTGTGCTGTAGTGGCTCACAGGAAGCCAGGACCCACAGCAGAGCTTCTGGCAGCATCTTCCTGGTTCCCTATAAAACCACACTGTTATCTCAATGTGAGGTAGATAATTTGTGAGTAGATATTTCTAACACTGAAAAATCAGGAAAAAAATAGCACACAGGCTTACTGGATATCATAATCAACAACAGAAAATGGAATTATGTAACATACTCAAATAAAATAAAAGGGAGAAGAAACTAGAAAAATTAATGGAACCAGAACAGCCTAAGCAAATAGAAATAAAAAAGCTATAATCATAAGTCCTTAATTCATCAGTTACTTGCAGAAACAATTAAAAGAGAATGTGAGGAGAGGCTGGGGATTTAGCTCAGTGGTTTCACCACCTGCTGCACAAGTGCAAGGACCCGAGTTCAATCCCCAGTACCAAAAAACAAACAAACAAACAAACAAAAAAAGAGAGAATGTAAGGGTAGACAAGAAAACTAGACCCAACTTTAGTTCTCTGTGAAAAAAAATCCATTTTATATAGAAAAGAAGTGATGGGTATGTTAAAAAAAATTTAGAACTTTATTTGGGCATGGGAAATAAGCTCAGTATACTTAGTATACACTAGTATGAATGTAGTTCAGAACACTGTAATGTACTCTAAAAAATTAATACAGCATTCAATTTGAAGTGTTCTTACTACAAAAAATAAAAGGTTTGTGAAATAATCTGATCCATTTCAACATCTGACAATGTGTAAATCTTCAAAGTACCAGGAATTAAATTATAAATGGATTCAATTTACTTTTGTCTGCTAAAAGATACACAAATATTTTAAAAATATAATGAAAGTTAAACCTAAAACATTGGATAAATAAAAATTATACAAAAAGGTACACTACTCGCACTGGTTCAACAAAACCTGCTGAAGTTATATTTATGTGATACTATTTGATCTATGCCTCAAAGAAAATAAGGATTACAATTATCATATAATGATAT